TGCTCACGGGCCTTTCTGACGCTGCTGCTATACTACTGGTGCCCTCTCCGAGTGCCATTGTCCCCGGCATCGCGCTTGTCTGTGCTCTCATCACACTGGTGACTCTGCTGATCGCCATTGCTGCTGCTGCTGTTGCTGCGCTGGCATTCGTGATCATTGGCGACAAGGACGCAGATCGCTTCCTACTCGAAGTTCGAAAATTGCCTCGACCTCTTGCCCGCACCACTCACCGACTCGTTCGCCTCCGAAAGAGTTCAGCACGCACGTCCACACACAGCACAGGCGAGGACGCATGCACCGCCAAAAGGCGCAATCGCGACCGATTCCCTTCCCCAAATCCGCCCCCGCTGCGCCAACTCACATATCCTCCTGCTTCCGGACCACGAGCACATCTCTACGCCCAAGCTCTAGCCCCGACGTTACCATACGGTCTTTCCGTTCGCACGCGGTCATTGCGCCCGCATTCCCACCTGCCAAACCCAATCTCTCATCTGCATCGCCTGGCCGTTCGACACGCGATCGCTGCGCATTGGCACTAGCAGCATCTTCTGGAGGTCCATAGAGTCAAAGGTTTCTCAGCTGGCACGGCGCAGCACGCAAAGTGATCGCACGCACAGCGCATCACGTTGTGGAGCTCGCTCCTGGCTCCAGTAGCGGCCCTATAGAAGATAGAAGAGAGGTTTGACCCGCCTAAGATCGTCATTGAGACAGCGGAGTGAGTCCGGACCGGCCCAGAGTAGTCGTGTCGGTGACGGGTAGCAACAGCAGAGCTTCGCAAACATTGTCGAACAGCGGGCAACACGAGCAGACGAGTGTCGCTAGAGCCAATGCTGCCATTGGCCTCGCCTTAGCACGTGTGTGTTGATTGTCATCTCGCTGCTGGTGCTGCATTTCGGCACACCTCTCATCCTAGTGGCTGTGCTTTGGAGGGATCATGCTATACTAACGCGCGACGATCTTCACCTTCGTTCGCCGACGCTCAGGGCACGCTCTCAAAAGCGACATACAGAACGCGCAGCGCGTAGCTTGGCCCCGCCTAAGCACCACGCCGACCAACATTCAGGGCCACTAATCACTCCATCACGTCTCGTCGCTGCATCAGCCGCAACTTTCGCCTATCGGCAGTCTTGGCGTGGTCTGCAGGGCTCCTGCATCCGAATCGGGCTTCGACCCTGAGACGCTCCCATCAAGAATCGGTGCTGCTTGTACGCTGACTGGCTGCGGGATCTGCGCTCACTTTTGGAGACGTCGTGAGAGGACCTGGAGTGCACAGACAGCTTTCACGGTAAGTGCTATGGCCGTCCATCCCTAGAGGAGGGGAGGCGCTTGGTGAGCTGACGAAGCTGACGTCCCTACGCGAAGCATCATACTGCAGCCCACACCGACATGACTTCGATAGTCAGACCTCGCTCTGCTCAGCCTACATCAGCTCGGTTGCCAGAATTTGGGGCTGGTCCCAGCAGCGGTGCTGGGCCTTCAACGGGCCCTGCTACCGCCACGAATTTTGGCGATGGGCTGCCGACACGCGCTTTCGAGGGCTATGGCAATTACGAGGGTGAGGAATTGTCCTTTCTGAACGATCCCGCCCTCGACTCGGTGGGAATCTTGCCTGGATTCGATGCAGACTTCGACCTCGGGCTTGGCTCACCGAAGGATGGACAAAGTCCGCTCTTTCGTTTTCCCGAGCTGCCCTCCAGCTTGCTCGATCAAGCTCCAGAATACGAGTATGTGAGTCCTGATAGTATATTGCGGGAGATCTTGTGATGTTTCGTGGCTGACGAGCCATATTTCTTGGCAGTCTGCCCACACACAAACAAATGTCTTCGAGGCCACGCATGACTATGTTTCAGATCTCAATGCTTCAAAATGGTTTGGATTGGACGACTTCGACCCTTTGCTCAATCCCGATCTCAACGCAGGCGGGATAATGGCCGCAGCACCACGCGCGACCGATGGTGGTGCGAGCGCCTGGGGCTATGCGCAGGACGCGGGTCCTGGTCTGCCCAGTGGTGTTGGGTCCATGGGTGCCACTCCGGCTGTGGGCTACACCGACTCTCCGTATGGACCAGAGTCTGAACCGCCTTCGCGAGCCTCTGAAGCGGGATTCTTGAGTGCTCAGAATGGTGGTGGTGCTCTCGTCGACGTCAATCAGATGGGCGGTGGTGGTGCTGGACAGGCAGGCAAGCGTCGACGAGACTCATTCGGGTCGCCACAAGCGGGGGCCGGCAGTGCCGTTGCCGGTCAGCAAGCTTGGCCTTCTCGAGCCGCACCAAACCCATTCCAGCCTCCCTCTCAAGCGCAGATTCAGCCGCCGCCTCTTGAAGCGCAGGCTTACGACCAGTATGGGCGGCCCATTCCGGTCAGACGTCCGCAGCCACAACAAGGCCCTCCGCACGTGGTCCCTTCGCAGTCCATCCCGGCACCGGGCCCTCGGGGACGCATGCAAAGCTGGAACGAAGGAAACCAGCGTGCTAGCTCTTACAGTGACGAATGGGGCCACCCCGGAATGTATGATTCTCCCGGACACGCCAGCTCATCGTCAGGCCACATGCCCCGCGGAGCGATGCACAGCCAGATGATGCATCCCTACAATCAACAACCTCGCGGGCCGTACGCGCCCATGCCGGGTGCTGGTGCTTCCTACTCGGACGGACATCCAGGACTAGGGCCACATGGGGCTCGCCTGAGTGTTGCTTCCGACATCAGCGCATCTTCGAGTAGCCGATTGCTAGATGTGTCTGCCCATCAGACCGAATTGTCCCTCAACGCAGCGGTTGGAGCCGCCATGGAGGCCACAGGTGATCCCGATGGCGTAGCCAAATGCCCGTATCCACGCTGCGACAAGACTTTCGCAAAGAATCGCAGCTACAACCTCAAGGCTCATCTACGAAGCCACTCTCAGCTGAAGCCCTTTGCCTGCTCACACTGCCCGCGGGCTTTTAGTCGCAAACACGATTTGGAGAGGCATGCCCGTGTCCACTCGGGCGACAAGCCGTACCTGTGCGAAGCTTGCGGAAAAGGCTTTCCGCGTAGTGATGCCCTGCGACGCCACTGGCGTATGGAGAAGGAATGTGGAGAGAAGGCGGCCGAGATCGAGGCTGGTCAGCCACTCCCTTCTCTTCCTCCAGGCGCGAGCGCCATTATGGCCAATATATCCGGTGCACACTTCGCCCCTGGGCAGATGCTCGGAGCTGTGCCCCCTCCTCACGTCACACACGCCCCGTACATGGGCATGCAATCACATCCACAAGGTGGCTGGGATGACGCACAAAGCTACGACGCCTACGAGCCTAATAGACGAGGCGACAAGCGCATGCGTCCTGCTCCATACTGACCTTCCCACTGCCGTGGTCATCGGCCGTCGTGCGCCCCTTTGCATACCCCTCTTACCCAGCCTGCTCTCAGGACGAAAGCGCAATATAACAACACCACCACTAATGCTCTGACTACTACACAGCTTTGGCATCGGCGATCTTGCTCTGCTTTGCTCCGCTTCCGACAGTCGATGCCTGGCATGCACTGCATGGCGAATGCTCGTCAAGCGCGGGATATCCTGCTTCTTTCTCACCCCTGGCTCTAGTCACCTACGTTACGTTACAATCTCTTGTATGCCAATCTTCCCTTCGTGCACAGCTCTGTCTT